TACCCAATCACAAAGGACATTATTTTTATTTATCCAACAAATTAAAGAAACAAATTTATTTTTAATTAAGAACTAAATATTACATAAAATACAAAATTTTTTTGTTTTTTGATTTTGCTTTTTGGTGAGGCAATGGGGGTTAAGTGACTTGCCCAGGGTCACACAGCTAGTTGAGTGTCTGAAGCCAGATTTGAACTCAAGTCCTCCTGACTCCAAGGCCGGTGCTCTATGCACTGTACCACCTAGCTGCCCCTCAATATTTTTAAATGAGGCAAAACTATATCAATTTTTTGGAGACAGAATGTGCCTGGGGATACTTATTTCACCCTTTATGCACGCCTGTGGCAGAACTATATGGAAGGCAAGATAGCCAAGTAGCTCATGAAATGATTGTGTTGATCATTTTAGACAAATGATAAAATTGACTTTCTACTAATTCCTTTATTTGCTTCTCCAAAGAGAAATTGTATACCATGCTATCATTTAGTTGCAACTTTATGACTTTTGGTTTCACTCATAATGAGAACGTCAATATTGGTGTTCAGTTTCTCTAGTTTTTTATCAACACATTCATTATTGAACAAAGATTTCATATTTATAGTAACAACCATTAATTTCATGATTATAGTGGTATAAATAGTACATAATCCTTAGATACCTTTCCCCCCCCATTTCAACTCATTATTCCACTGTAACTATAGAGACAGAAGGGAGCTTATGTAGGAATAAGGCACATTTTGTATTTTTCTTTGTTTCATGGGTTGCTGTGGCTTAATAATATATTATCAAGTGGCCACTTAGGATGACCCTTTCCCATCCTGTTAGGCTGATCCTCACCCACTCTGATCTGAGTCTTTGCTGCTCTTCTGGCGCAGCCAAAGAAGACCCAAGGTCATATCCATTCCACATAGAAGCATCAGAGTATGACTTTTGTGGAAGTCCAAGGTATGCTGATAAATATTTAAGAACAAACTTTCCAGCCCCTCCCCCCCATATATATACAGGACACACTTTTAAATTTCATATGCATTCTTAACATTTTCACCATCACCCTCTTAAGTTTGGACAATCAACAAAACAATGAATCAAGCCCTGATTGTGTTATTTGTTGATTTCCAAAGTATAGATGCTTACACGGAAATTTTAATAATTGGCTTGAGTTGGTACAAGTTGACTTTAGTGCACCAGTTTACAGGGGTGAGGAACCTGCGGCCTCAAGGCCACAGGTGGCCCTTTAGGTCCTCAAGTGGGGCCCAAGTATGGATTCAGTCAAAGGGCCACACTTGAGGACCTAGAGGGCCACCTGTGGCCTTGAGGCCGCAGGTTCCCCACCCTGACTTAGTGCAATGTCATTTAACACTTAGACTGGGTTTTTGTTTGTTTTGTATTCTCATTATACCTGTATGTGCTTGCTATCTTTCCAACTAGAAGCAAAGTCTCTTTAGGGCAGATGGGAGGCTTTCTATTTCTTTTCTTTTTTTGGTGAGGCAATCGGGGTTAAGTGACTTGCCTACGGTCACACAGCTAGTAAGTGTCAAGTGTCTGAGGCTGCATTTGAACTCAGGTCCTCCTAACTCCAAGGCCAGAGCTTTATCCATTGTGCCACCTAGTTGCCCCTAGGCTTTCTATTTCTTATGAGTTTCCTTATAACGGAGAGTGCAAGTCTACAACTCTCTATTTGTTCAATATATCTTTAAAAAACAACAGGATGAAGATACAAATAAATTTGTTTTCAGTATAAGATTCTATAAAGCTCCTTAGAATAAATGAAGAGCTTTAAATTTTTTGCTTTGAATGACTAGATTCAATATAATTGAAATATCTATAAATCAGTCAATTAATAAAAATATTTAATAAATACCTACTTTGTGCTGGGTACTATGCTAGGTACTATTGATACAAGAAAAAGGAGGAAACAATTTACTCTCAATGAGTTTATGAACTCAAATGGCGGGGATAACAACAACATATATAAACATATGCAGCACAAATATAAAGTAAATTATACAAATATTTACAATGTAATTAATACAGGGTAGTTTGGAAAGAAGTACACTAGTATTTGGATAGATCAGGAAAGACTTCATGCAGAAGAAGGTGCTTGATCGGAATCTTATGGGAATAGAAGGCTTCCATTAGACAAGGAAGGACTGCATTGGCTAGTATGAGGGTATGGAGTTGGGAGATGAAGCACAGGAAGGGGAGTATAGTCCAATGGAAGCTGGAAAGATAGCTTGGGGCCAGACTGTGAAAGGCCTTTAAAGCTAAACAGAGTCAATAGGAAGTCCCTAGAATTGACTGAGGAGAGAGTTACATGGTTAAATTTGTGACAGATAGCTGGAAAAGTGGGCTTAATATTACTTGATGGCTAGAGCACTGTATTTTTAAGATCAGAGATCCTGTATTTGAGTTTGGGCTCTTCCTCTTATTAGACATATAACTTTGGGCAAATTATTTAACTGCTCTGAATTAGGGATGACAGTATTTTCATTATCTATTTCCTGGAGATGGTGTCATGATATTATTTTATAAATTGTAAAACATTATATAAATCTGAGTTATTAATGTTATTAATATGAAATGAAGTGTAGGAAATCTAAGATGAAATGTTCTTAACTCTCTTTAAGTCTCATTTCTTTCACTTGTATTATTAAATGCTGAATTATCTTATAGTGATTACAAATGCACTACAATTAAAGAAGGCAACGAGGATTTAGGAACAAGGATTATTCCCTGCATTTTCTTTTAAATGAATTGGGAAAGTTGGTGCATGGTCATTTAAATGTTTTTTTCCCCTCTCTAGTTCATTCTTACTAGGCAGGGAGCAATTTGAGAACATATTAAAAGTGTTTGAATTCTGTCTTCAATTTAAGGGAGGTAGTCCCTTGTGAAAACTGCTTTCTTTGTAAATTAAATGGGTGATTCTGGTTGGGGCAAAATTACCTGCCTAGTCAGTTTGATGATAGGAGGTAATCCATAATAGAACTGAACAGATGCCAATTGGGAAGCTGAAACCCAAAGGATCACATCAGAGTCTGGAGATGTATGTGAAGGGGATTCAGCTGTGTGCCTGAAGCTTCAGGGCCACACAGATGCCTGCAACTGCTAACTGAGTATCCCCTGGGTATATTTAGGGAGTATCAAGATGGAACTTTGATGCTGGTGTTAGAGAAGACATGGCAGTTGACATGGGTGTGTGAATCAGTAGGCACATTTGCAAAGGAAAGGAGGGATTCATGAGGACTGTGCTGCCATAGGTAATAGTTGTGTGCGTGGTAGGAAGAAAGACAGCAGTAGTAGCCATTTGGGGCTTGGAAGTAGCAGGTAAGAAGCTTGGAAATATGTTGTCCTTGTAGTGAATTATTGTATAGAAGAAGTACTGAATTGTAGGGTCTGTATGGAGGATGGCATGCCTTGGCTCTGCCTCGAACTCTGAAGTCACAGGTCTGAATGTCAGGGTCAGAGTCCTAGCTCCTTCCCCTCATGATGCTTTCATCAGATTGTTTGTCTTAATTATGGGCAAATTTCTGAGCTCCCAGAAAGAAAGAACACCCAGGGAAGAGGGCAAGCTAACCCAAGCTCCATGTTGGGAGTATGATCATTTGGAGCAGTCTGATTGCCTGTAGGTTTGTGACAGTTTAAACTTGAACCAAAAAAATCTCTCAAATCAGTTTCTGAGTGTCCACTTCCCTTTGCTACTTGAGAGGCATTTCCGACTTCTAATCAGGGCCACCTGGCCCTCTAAGGAGGTGGAGTGGCTCTCCATGTGGTTGGATTTGAGAGTATCCACAAAGACTCCCTCCCTAACCCAAACTCCTTTGGCCTGCCGACTTACCTGAAATTCTCATTTGGGGAATCATTTCTTTGAGTTTAGACATCTCTATTCTCGTAAATTTGACTCAGTTCTCTATGTGTTTGAGAAATGAGGTCTTTATCAGAGATAGACATTATCTCTAAAGACAGCCAGTTATTAGGAAGGGAGGGTCAATTTCCCCAAAGCACATAGGAGCGGATTAGTCAGTCAGTCAAGGAGCATTCATTAAGTACCATTACTGGCACTTTGCTGATCACTGGGGAAACTAACAAAGAAATAAGATGTCTCAGCTTTTAAGGAGCTTACAGTCAAAGGGAGAGACAATTTGAAGACAACTATATATAAACAAGCTATAGACAGGATAAATTGGAGATCGTCAATAGAGTAAAGGCATTGGTATCCTGGAGAATTGGGAGACGGTGGGTTTTTATTTTATTATTATTATTTTTTGTTTTTAGGCAATTGGGGTTAAGAGACTTGCCCAAGGTCACACAGCTAGTGAGTGTCAAGTGTTTGGTCTGATTTCGGATTTGAACTCAGGTCCTCCTGACTTCAGGGCTGGTGCTCTATCCACTTTACCACCCAGCCGCCCCTAAAAAGGTGGGTTTTTAGCTGAGACTTGAAGGAAGCCCAAAGTGGAGATGAGGAGGACATTTCAGAAAAGAAGACAGACAGTGACAACGTCCAGAGTCTGGAGATGGAGTGGCTTGTGTGAGGAACAGTAAGGCGATCAGGGAGCCCTCACCAAAATCTACCCTTAGGAAAGCTGTCAAATTTAGCCACAGGTGACCCAAATCAATTCAATTTAACTAGCACTTGTTAAGTACTTCCTACTGCCAGGGTAGGTGCTATGAAACGGAAATAAATTCAAAGACCAATACCAAAAAATCCCTGCTTTCAAGAAGCTTACATTATAATTGAGGGAAACACCATGTAGACAGATAAATTTTTAAAAATGCTAAGTAAATACAAAGTAATTTTTGTGGAGAGGGAGAGAACTAATATTAGGAGGATTAGGAGATGAAGAACTGTGTAGGAGCCCACCCTCAAAGGGACCTAGAGATTTAAGAAATGGAAATGAGGAAGGAGAGAATTCCTGGCTTATGACCACCCTGAACCAAGGGTCAGAGGTAGGAGATAGAATGTTGTGCCCATGGAAACAGCAAATAGGCAATTGGGTGGAGCACAGAGTATGTGAAGAGGAGTAGATGTGAAATCAGTCTGGAAATATAAGGCGGAGCCATATTGTGAAGAGTGTTGTCTACCAAATGGGTGAGTTTGTATTTTATCCTAGAGTTAATGGTGAGCCATTGGAGGTTTTTTTTTTTTTTCGGTGGCGGGGTGTGGGTAAATGGGAGTTGATATAATCAAGCCTGTCCTTCAAGAAGATCAGTTTGGCAGATGATAGAGAAGAGAAAGAAGCAGGGTGCTGAATTAGGAGGCTTTCACAGTAGTCCAGGTGGGAGGCGATGAAGGTTTGAACTAGGATGGTGGCCACCTAAGCAGAGAGTGGGGTGAATGGGAGTGATGTTGTGGAAGTAGAGCTGGCGAGACAGGGTTGGGCCCTATGAGTAAGAGAAAGGAGAATCAAGATGTGAATGATCAAAACTTACATTTTTATCCCTCTCAGGTATTTGCATTTTATCAAGCTCCACATCTTAAGCCAAACAGATGGAGGAACTGGGAATTTTTATCCTGGAGAAGCAAAGACTTAGGGGGACATGCTAGCTGCTTTCAAGTATTTGAAGAGCTGTCATAAGGAAGAAGGATCAGACTTGTTAAGGTTGGCCCTAGAAGGCAGGATAATGAGCAGTGGAGAGAAGTTTCAGAGAGGTTGATTTAGGTTTAATATAAAGTCAGTGCAGGTGTTAGGCAGACAATGCTAGGTTGAGGCTCCAGGGCCTAGCAACCTTTCCCAGTCCTTTGCCTTTGCTCACAGTTTGCCCTGAATTCATTGCTCTGGGATTGCCTCAATAGGAATCGAGCCTCTTATGCTTCAATTTCATCTTCACTTCATATTCCTGAGGAACAATTCTATTTTCAGCTTTAATCTAAGACAGCAAAGAAGGGAGGGAGAAGTGCCCAGACCACAAAGAGGAATTAGGTATGAAACCAGCAGTTTTATTCCTACACAGGAGAGGGAAATATAAGTAATAAAGCCATGGAATGATTACCATTGGAAACATGGAATGGTGATACAATGGATGAGAAGCAGTTGAGAAGCTAGAGGCTAGTATTCAAGCTTTCTTGGGACATTTGCAATAGGGCTGCTCATTAATTATTTTACATCTCATTTTCACTGTGCACAGCCAGATCAATGCCACTTCCACATGCTCTCTCCCTCCCTTTTCCTATCCCCCTCCTCACCCCCTCTTTGCCTTCCTTTCTCAGCTATGAAAGCCTGTCTGAAAGCAGTTGTGAAAATGCCACCTGTGTCCTTCGGCCCTTGAGTTTCTTACCTAAAAACTTTAATGATCTTTAGCAATGTCTTCCAGATGCCTTCTAGAAATATCATTTATGCCTACTTGCATCACTAGTATTATAGCCTAATCACCTAATCTGATAAATCTTGGAGATTCTCTGGCATGTCCTGGATATATTCCCCAGGGAGACTGCAGACTCCTCTATTGCTATGAAGTTGACAACTGCTCCAGGACCCTTTGGTAAGGAGTGTCAAACCACCACTAATCTTGTCTTCTTCCCCTGATCTTTTCTGAATGAGCTCTCACCTGAGGGTACCTGTGGATACTTTTCAGCATCCTTGGAGGACAAACAGCTGCTTCCTGATGAAGGAATCAGTCTCCTCTCCTTTGGGAAGAGTCTCCCCTTTCTTTGAAGTGAATATGCTCAAGCCTCATTCTCCCAGAGTGAGAACTGTTACCTTCCTTCTCAAGGGTGGGGTGGGTGGGAGAGGGCAATACTCATAGGTTTGGAGTATCCCTTTTCTAACACTGTCAACTTGAGCCCATACTGGCTTTGTTCCATCCACCAGGATCTCAGTTGCATCTAACCATTTAACATAGATTAATTTTTACAAAGGAATACTTATCTCAATACTTATTTATACTTATGTCAATATATATATACTTATATCAATATATAGCTTATATATAATATCATATATTATATCAAAAGTAATTATAGCTTATATATACTATATTATGATACATGTTATGATATACATGATAAATTATATATATTATATATAGCTATAATATACTTATATCTATATCTATATATCTATGTATACTTATATCAATACTTATTTCAAAAAGGAATACTTATTTCAAAGATGTAGCAAGGGCAAAAGCACAAATGTGACCTTAGGGTCACATTCTCCTCTATCCCATCTTGGTCTCCGGGAGAAGTAGGCTCAAACTTAGCTCCGTTCCTACATAGCATTAGTCCCACCAAATTTATGCCAAGGTGTATGGAATGACTGCCAGATGAGTTCTCATCCTAGACATTGCTTGGACTGAGTCCTAAAGATCACTCCTTTCTCTTCAGGGAATTGATGCTAAGTTGGCTCCAAAACCCTGACACTGGGATGCTTCAACATCCCCTACACTTAAACACTTCTGCTTTTTAAAAAAGAAAATGCCTAATTTGCTCTGACAGCCTGAAGTATTAGAGATGTGTCCCTTGAATCCTTTCACCTTTTTTTTTTTTCTAGGAGGATGTCTGACATACTAGTTCTGTGATAGAATAGTGGGCTTCAAGAAATGCTAGGGATTCCTTTGCAGTAAAGAGTTTTAAATAAAAACCAGATTACTCTGGAGGATGTTGTAGAGGAGACCAGGCCACTGAGGTCCCCGAGAACCTGTGATTTCGTGAAACTCGTTAGAATTTGGAGAATCAGCCAAAGGTAGGTGAGATGAAAGAGGCATATCCTATATTGCTCACTGGACCTATGCAGAATGCTGGCCCTACAGCTATTATAACAGGCACAAAAAAAGGACATAGACCCATAGTGTTAGAGTGAAAAGGGAGCTTAATGGCTTTTTACAGATGAGGGAAGAGATCCCCATGCCCCTTTCACTGTCCTATGCTGCCTGTCCTGGCAATTTTGGACAAAAGGAGAGGAATAGAGGTCTTTATGGGTGTTGTTTTGAGGGGGTCAGGCAGTAAGAGACTCTGAGAGCCAGCTGGCCATACGACAGGGTGGGAAGTAAGCTAACTAGGAATCAAGGACCTGGGTCATGACCTTGTTCTATCCCTGTCTTTCTGTATGACTTTGGGCAAATCATTCAACCTCTCCAGGTGCCAGTTTCTTTATCTATAATAAGAATGAATAATAAGAATTGTTCTCTAAAGTCTATTAAAACTCCAATATTCTAGGAACCTAGAGATGTTAGGCATAGTTCCTATGATAGTTTTGCCCAGGGTTGGCTAAACATGATATTTAGAAAACCTGTAGGAATTCCTTTGTCCTGACACCTGTGGTTCTGTTTTCACCAAATAAGTTTAATCACACAAAATCAGGACAAATGAAAATGTTATTGGATGGGAATGGACCATGGTTCATTAGGGTATGAACCAAGGTCAGTGTTGTAGTGAAAAAAGCACTGGAGTAGAAGCAGTGGGGCAGCTAGATGGTTCAGTGGTTAGAATATCAGGCTTGAATTAGGAAGAACTGAATTCAAATGCAACCTCAGAAACTTATTAGACGTGTGATCCTGGGCAAGTAACTTAAACTCTGTTTGCCTCAGTTTCCCTACCTGTAAAATAGGGATAGTAATAGCATCTATCTCCTAGAGTTGTTGTGAGGATCAGATGAGATAATAATTATAAAGTGCTTAATACAATGCCTGGCACATAAGTGCTATATAAGTGATATTATTATTATTAATTATTAGGTAGTGGTGGTGGTGGTGGTGGTGGTGATGGTGATGATAGTGGTAGTGGTAGTGGTGGTAGTAGTAGTAGTAGTAGAGGACAAGAATTTGAAACCACAGCTCTACCACTTATCAGCTATGTGACCTTGGGCAAGTCATTTAACTTCTTTCAACTTGTTTCCTCATATATAGTGAGAAAATTGGATTAGGTGATCTCTAAAGATGCAGTCACTTCTAAACAATGATTCTAAGTTACTTTGTCTCTCTGTACCTCATTTTTTTCCATCTAAAAAGTGGTCATACCCATATTAACTAACTCTACTTTTCTTACAATCAAATGGTATAATACTTTGATAGTCGACATACATTTATTAATTATTTGCTATGTGTAAGGCATTATGCTAAGGGTTAGGAATGAAAAAAAAAAGCTAAAAACAGTCTTTTTGAAGGCATCTGTAAATTATTTTCCAAACTGTAAGTCACCATATAAATGTTAGCAATAATTATTCTGATAACTGTTGTTCATAATTTTAATCATGTCCAACTCTTCATGACCCCATTTGGGGTTTTATTAGCTCTACTTTTTTTCCCTTGCTTTACTATTTCCTTCTCCAGCTCATTTTACAGATGAGGAAACTGAGACAAACGGAAATAAGTGACTTGCCCAGAGTCACACAGCTAGTAAGTGTCTGAGGCTACATTTGATTCTGATTACTACATAATAGGAAAAACTCAGATTAGATGTTAGGAAAACTCTGTCAAGGGTTCTGAGACATAAAAGATAAGTAGATATACTCTGGAAACTTATAAGAATAAACTTTTCAGGCATGATTTGAATGCAATTCTGCCCAGAGACTGGAGGATAGACTAGAAGACAAATCAATGATGCTACCAATCCTATGATTCACGGATAGGCCTAGATGTGAACAGGTGATGTGAGGACACTGTAGCTTTATTTATACAACTCTGTCTATCTTTCCTTTGATCAATTAGTTTATGCGGTTTAAAAAAAATAAAATCGTAGGATGTTAGAGCTAGAAGAGACCATAGAAATCATACTATCCATTCTTTTAATTTTAGAGATGGGAAAACTGAGGCCCCCGAGGGATAAAGTGACTTGTGCAAGGTAACAAGGCTAGGTAGAAGCAAAGGAGTGGACTCCCAGGACTCCCAGTGCTTTCTTTCCCCTCTCCCCCTACAATCTGCAGTCTTCAGAAGTGCTTTCTTTGAAGGCACTCAATTCTTCTAACTCAGGTCTCCAGCTTCTCATGTGACCTCTGGGTAGTTTCTGCTGTCAGGTCTGGTGGATGTGATTGCATCCACATCTTGGCAGAATGTGAAGGCGTCTCAGTCAGTGATTTGGCTCCTTTAAGAGAGCAGACAGGCTCCAGGAATCCTGTGCTTCTCCTTTCTCCACTGGGCTCCGAGTGCAGCTCA